GATTTGTTGTTGGGGGGTTTAATTTTTTGAGTTCCAAGTATATTTTAGATATGAGACCCTTGTCCGTTGTATGGCTAGTAAAGATCTTCTCCCAATCTTCCACAGAACTCTTAAGCAAGGAAAGGACCAAGCTTATGGAAGCACTTTACCTGCTCCATAGTTATCATGAAAGTCCCGAGGGCTGTTTCCATCCAGCTTCGTTTTGTGTTCTTTAACAACATAATTTTTTTAGTATAGTTCACATTTTCAAGAATTGTTTTTATAACTTTCTGTAGATAATCAATGAGAGCAGGAAATCTGTTATAGATCTACAAGAAGAAAATTATTTAATGAAGTATACACTTCAATTCATACATATGTATATATAATATATGTGTTGTATGCAATATATGCACATGTACAATAGATATGAATTAATATACACACATATATACACAAATTATATAGATATAATATAATATATATAACAAACTAGTATGCCATGGGCAGATTTATTTCTATAAATAAGTATCAAATATGTCTGTCTGTAGCCGATAGAGTGTCTGTGGGAACCCCGAAACCAGCTCTCCTGGATTTCTCTCCGAAATCCTCCAGAAAGTCAGCCAACTGTAAAGATGGAGGCTTCAGTGACCTTAATAACCTGCCCCATGCCCCATTCTGAGGCCTAGATATAGACTTTGGCTACAGTAGGCTTCTGGAACGTGCTCTGCTCTCAAAGTAACTGCTCTGTTCGGGTCATCTGTGCGAGGCTCTGGTGTATCGTTTACATTTTGAGTTGTCTGCAGCAACTCCAAATCAACTTCCACCAGACTTGGGTCCATCAGTGGGACAAGGCTGGGAGAGAGGCGTTTCTTTGCATGGTGCTTTTTCTGTGTTCCACAGGAAGGCCTGTTATTGCTTAGACTTGGAATGAGTCCTTTGACCATGCACACGTTAGAACTGTGACCTGTCGACGAATTCGCCAGCCTTGAGTGGAACCAAATAGCCTCCCTACAAAAGGGTGCAGGCCGAGGGGGCACAGGACAAGGGGGCGCCCTCCTGGAATCCAGGCCGAGGTGTGTGGCACATGTGCTGAAGGAGCTGGCGTCTGTGTGGAAGGTGCTGGTGGACACAGGCCTGTCCTGAGCCCTTCAGAGCAGCTCTCTGCCCGCGGCTCTCTGATCTCTCCTCGTGGCTCGCGGCTCCCTGGAAAGGTGCTGGGTGTTCTGTAGGCACCATGGTTGTCTAACCAGCTCTGCTCACCCTCTTTGCTGAGTCTGCGCCGTGTTCATTGGAGAGAGCAGGGTGACACACGCAGTGCTTGTGCTAATCTTCCTTCTTCCGGACCACACAAGTGTGTATCCAGCTGACTGGATTTCCCTGCACTTGAGCGGCAAGGCTCTGAAGCGGAGTGTGGATTCAGCATGACAGGCCTACACAGTGGGACACCGGGTCCTCCGCCATCTGGTTGTGATGCATTGCAAGTGCGAGACCTGGCTCCGGGGCCGGCCTCTGGGCAGCAATGCTAACTTTAGGTGAGATGGTCATTCATGCATTCAGAGCAAGTCCCATCTCTCTGTGAAGCACACAGACAAAGCAGCACTAAGAGAGATGGTAATCAATTAGTGCGCACCTGGAACTTTTTATGTTCAATTAACCATTCAAAGAACCTTGCTTTAAACAAGAAAGCTAAAGTGTTCTATGAAATCTTTTTTTCCCCTTTGGTTTGATTCTTTTGTATGTTCTTCCCCCATGGTATAACCCCTGTCTTCATTGTATTTGGTTCTGGTGCCCTGCATCTTGTATATATATTTTTCTGATTGGGGAGGGGAAGGGAAATAACAAAATACTGAAAAAAGGATACAGGTTGACCCATTGTAACAATGAGATTTACAAGACCCTATGTTGAAATCAAACTGTACAACTTCCGAGGAGAGGAGGGAGGAGCTGTGGAGGTGGGGGAGGTAAAGCAGGGTAGGGGAAAACAAAGGAGGGGGTAACAATGCTTCATAGGAAATGTACTCATTACTTTACTCATGTAACTGTAAACTCTCTGTACAGTATCCCTACAATAAAAAATATAAACAAAAAAGAAAGCTAAGGTGAGAAAAAATATGTTAACTTATGAGTTGGAGGAAATAAAGATGAAAAGCAGAGGACACAAACTATGCGAGTTGAAAGAATAATGTGAACAGTAGAAAACATAATATGGAATTTTTAGTGTAAACAAATAAAAGTTTCTTACTCAGGTAAAGAATACAAAAGAAGAATTAAAAAATGGTGCCCGAGTGTGGTGTTTTGTATCCCTAATGTGTATTTAAGAGACAAAAGTAGGGTAAAAACAGTCCAAGGCTAGACTGGGGCAATAAAAAGACCTAAGGGAACAATAATTAATAACATTGGATAGTAGAAAGGAAGAAAAAAGAAAAGAAAGGAAGGAAGGTGGATGCTGCGTGGCTCATAGACTTCATACCCTCGACATTCCTCTCTCCACATGACCGCGCCTCCCCTTAGATTGTACCCTGGCTCAGACCAGCCAGCTTTCAGCTTCCTAGTATTCACTTCGCTCAACTGCTTGTTAAATGTTCAAGGAGTTGTACCATGCAAACCAGGCTTTTTCAGTTTGACTGTGTATATACTCCTATGCATGCTTTAATATGTGTTCATATTTTAAATATAATTTCCATATAGTAGATAAATCAAGCACTCCATCTCTCTCAGGCTGATTTAACTCACTCAGTATGAATTTTTTTCTAGGTCCATCCATTTCTCTGTAAATGATGCAATATTATTATTCCTGATTGATTACTAATACATATATATGGGTGTCTATGTATAGTTTATGCGTGTGTGAGTGTGTGTATGTTACATTAACTCATCATGGGTTCTTATTTATGCATTATCTCTTGTCTCTGCTGATTTTCTTGCTGGTTTTTCCTCTGATTTAGAGGCATCCATGCATGGAATGTATTCAGGCTTCAGTGCCCACTGTGTGCCTTGGGACTTCTATCTCTACAGTCTATGTAACAACTTTTCCGTCAGTATGGCCTCAGCACTCTTGATAAATCAAAACTTCTTTCCATAGCACTCATGTTTATAGCAGTTTTGTTAAGAATTAGGTATGGGAATATACAGTGTATATGGAGTGTATCTTTTTTTATTTTTTATTGTTATTTTTTTTTATTGTGAAAATACTGTACAGAGGGGTTACAATTACATGGGCAAGATAGTGAGTGCATTTCTTATCAAGCATTGTAGCCTCCTCCTTTGTTTACCCTTCACATCTCTTCCCAGCCTCCCTGGAACTCCCACTCAATCCTCCCCCCCCCACCAATGAGGTAAAGTTCATTTTCAACATGACAACTTGTACTTCTCATTGTTGCAATGGGTCCACCTGTATCCTTATTTAAATGACTTGTTTTTTCCCTTTCCCTCCACAAATTATACTGACATCAAATACAGT